TTTTTTTTTTTTTTTTTTTTTTTTTTTTTTTTTTTTTTTTTTAAATTTTTTTTTTTTATGTCTGGCCTACATTTTTATTTTGCAAATAAAAATGTTTTGAACTTATGTTCCGATCTAGTAAACAAATGATAATTTGTTCTGATCTTCACTTCTACTTAGGCATCCACCACAGCATTTAATGGATTTGCACAGGTAAGAAATAAACAGGTTTTAAGGTTTTTTTTTTTTTCTGTGCTATTGGGAGGGGATTAGAACTGGCTATACAATTTCAGGAACTCCATTCAGCATAGCAATGTCATAGTGTCTCAAATCCAGACCTTGTCTGTTCTCAGAAATTCTACTTAGATGTGTTACTAGAATGATTCTAGTACTCTTAGGACTCTTGGCCTCACTGAATTTAATAGCAAAAAATCTGACTACCTTAGTGGGATGGATTTTTTTCCTCCTTAAAGGACTGATTTAACTTTTTTTATTGTGCTCTTTTTTGAATTTTTCCCACAATCCCCAAATCCTGTAAAGAATGGTTTCCACAGTTTCACATAGTTTCAGTCACTCTTTATGTACATATAAAATGAGGGGGGTTTCCCTCCATCTTTGCTTTCATTTAGGATACATTTTACTCTCAAAGTTAAATGTTTGCTGCTGTGCTGATAGTGAGACTGTGTTACCCATCACAGAGATACAGCACAGGAAGACACCATGTTTATGCTTTCAAATTTCAGGGCTGTGTCAAGATCCCAAATTTCAGGTGGATTACTTTGGTCCTCATTATTTTCCATCATCCTTTTAGAGACTGGCTCATTCACAGCACACGCTGTGTACCATATTTTAAAAGCACCCAGAAAGACTCAGCTTATACAAGGACAGAAATGAGTCTTCCAGTGATTAACCAGTCTGCTCCAGGACATTTAGTTTAGTAAAGGATCTGGAAGGAAGGGGAAAAGCACAAAGCACAACCTCTGTTAATTAAGGCAAAATGTTGGTCTGGAGGAAATAAATATCTGCTGCCCCCACTGCAGTAGGAAAATAATTTGGCCCAGGCAATATTTTGCAAATTAATGGGTTCTGAATGAGCGAGGTGTTGGAAAACACCTCCATATTTCTACTTCTTAATGCAGGTAAAATTTCCTATCTGTAATTACTATAGTTATAATTCAAATAAAAGCCCAGGATCAAGAACATGTGAAAGTAGCTTAGAGCTAGTGTCATCTCCAAGCACAGCCATGTGTTGTCTGCAAAAAGTTTCACAACTTGGAAGAGCATCGTACCTGAAACAAAGTCCTTGCAAACCACTATTTTAATGAAGGGGTTTTCACTGCCTCCAGTGAGGTGAAGAACTTCTTGGTTTAGAAGGATAGAAAATAATTGAAAAGGGAATGTCTTTAATAACAAGAGTACTTGGATAGTCTAAGTATTAAAAATAATTATTAATTAGTTTGTATTTGTCATCTTATTCTGTGTGAATGTACTTTGGTGGACATCTGCAAATATTCTGTCTGAAATACTTTCTGCATTTATTTTTCATTTCGATATCTAGGATATCTCTGTATTTACAGCACAAGCAAGTGAGAATGTGACAGAGCCTTTGGTAAGTGATGGGGTTTGGTTACTTTTTAAATGCCTGGTAAAAAAGGGCATTTTTTGTTCTTCCTTTGGGCAAAGAGATTTTCTCTTTTTTGTGTGCTTTCCATCCTTTAAATCACAAAAGCTTATACAGCTCTTCTACCTGGCAGAGCTGGTGGGTGATATGATTGTAGTTTGTAAATCCATACTCACTAAACCAGTCTTTTACAAGGATAGCACAGAGCAAAAGAAAAGAAAACCAGAATATTTTAAGATATGTTTACTTTAAAAAGATGTAATCAAACAGTTTGTTCATTTATTGCATTTAAGAAATTAGTAAGAAATTAGACCATAAGTACTATGGTCCAGTGTAGAGCAAGCAGGTGATAGTATGTGATAACTATCACAGTAAATATCTACAGTATTGCTGTAGTTTTACCCACTCTCCACATATTACTAGTAGGAGTAATCTACTTCTAAGGAATGGACAATCTTTTTGAAAGTCATCACACCTGGGCAGTTTCTTAGCTCCTCTTACAATCTTTGGTTAGCCTGAAGTAAGGATGTGAATAGCAGCATTGCCTGGTGAGTACTACAGTTACTTAATAGCAGCAGACTGATATTCAATATTATTTAATGTGGCTTTTGTATAATGCCTCTGGAGGTGTTTGTGTTCGTGATGGTTACTAAATATGGTGAGAGTATTTTTACTTGTAGCTGAAATGTGATAACTCTGCTTGTCATCAAATGACTTGAAGCACATCCGTGCAATCTGCTTCATAACATGTTATCTGTGACTTTAGGCCTGGAAGAATCTTCCAGCGTAAAAATCTCAGGAAACTCATTAGTCGCCTTACCTGGGATAAATCTGCTTTGTGTTTCTCATTTCAGTTCTATTTCTTCTTTGTGGAATTTTCTAGAGCTGTCATTAATACACTGCACAGAGAGATTTTTGCACAGCTTGGTACAATATGGTGAACGCTTCTTTATGCTATGCCATATTCTGAAAGCCTTGCATAGGCAAACTTTTCTGTACCTCATTAAAAATTAGTCTGCTTAAGGTGTATGTGAGTAAAGAATTGAGAGGTTTTGGGGTTTTTTTTCCTGAAAAATATCAGGAGATTTTAGTATTTTAAAGAATTTCATGGGAGCTTTCCCTTCATGTCTCACAGGAGACATCACATTCTAGCCAGCTGCCTCTTATCAACTGCAGAGCAATTGCTTTTGAGCTCCATATTATGCTGAGCAATTTGTTCATGGCAGATTAATCTTTTGGGGTTATTTTATCTGATTGAGTCAGCCATCTTTATAAATGGAATGTGCTGAGCACTGCTTGGAACTCTCCCCTTGTATGTGCGTGTGATGTTTCGCTAGGTCATGTTTCCATTGGAGATTGCACTTCTGCTCTGAGCTATTTTGCCACAAAACTGAACTTGTTTCAGGGCTGGTTATATTTGATAGATCCTCTTGTTCAAAAACAAGCTGAGGCCAGAATTTAAAAGGGTGGAAATCCCAACAGTGGGTTGATAAATGGATGCCTTCTAGGTGATTGAGAGCTCAAGAGAAAATGCATTTTAATAAGAAACTAGGGATGATTTTCACACTGCTAGAATTTAGTCAGTCAGTGTTTGCCCTGGTGCATATAAAAGCTGTCTGAATGTCTGCTAATTGCTTCTTACCTTCCCTGGAGGAGGGACAGTATTTTCCAAGAGCAGACCAAACTAAGGAGTAGGAGACAGTTTTGAGAACTCATATTTGAAGGCCAGAGTTGGTACACATGGGTGCCACTTTCAACTTCTGGCCTTGCTGTCAGTTTTTGGAGCATTTTGGAGCAAACTGTGGGTGCCTTCCCCCCCTTCCATCACCTCTTACTCTAGCTCAGAAAGCTATGCTTGCTTTACTTGAGAAGGAGGGATGTAAAACTGGCACATTTTACATATAGAACATTAGGGATGAAAATGTCCTTTCGATGCTGCCCTTTGCCAGGGGCAAAGCTCAGCAAGATTGAGCCTGAAGTAGCACTGTGCCAGGCACAGTTCCCTTTCCCCTCCTCCATTCCCAGTATCATCTGGTCCTCAACAATTTTTCCACTATCTACTTAAAAATCGATAACCAAAGGCTGAGGCTGAAGAAGCTCCACCTGGGGAACTTAAGGCTGGTGAAAGCCCTGCTCCTGCTGCTGTTATGGAAAAGGAGGCTGTCCCTGGTGAGCCTGCTGAACAAGCAGAGCAGGCTGTGGTGAGTGCTCTGTCCCCGTGCCCCCTCTCGGGCCTCATCAGAGACACCTTTCATCGTGGGGAATGTGCCTGCTGCATTTTAGCCATCCTTTCCATTGTCACCCTCCTTGTGCCTGGCTGTGTCACAGCATGCCTCTCCACCACTCATCCTCCTTTCAGCCCTAAAATGTCATTCCTCTTATGTTTCGCATTTTAGACCGAAGTTCAACTGAGTAATTGTAGTTTCACAGGTTGTTTGATCCCAGATGAACTTCAGAAGGGGAAGGGATTGATGCTCTTTTTAAACGACCTTATTAACAGTTTTCTCATTTCAAGCTGTAAGCCAATGTATGCCTTGTATGGTCCTTACTAGAGCATGAAAATTCCAGAGGAAAAAGTGCTAGTAATATAAACACCAATTTGGAGATCTTTTACATGCCGGCATTTAGGAAATGATGAGAGGAGAAGAAATTACAGGTCTGCATGAAGAACAAAGCAGGGCACACAGTATCACCACAAATTAAGAGGTGGTCTGAGGCAGTAGGCATGGGATTTTACTGCTAACTAGCATCCCTTTTTATACAGATATCTCAGTGAATATCCCTTTTATCTCAGTGAATATCCTTTTTATCTCAGTGAATATCCTTTTTATCTGAGGTTCCTCTTCTACATGCTGTTGTCAGAAGGTCTTGGTGGTGGGTGAATGCATCTGTTTTTGTAGTCTGACAGCTTTCATGCTTTCCTCAGACAAGAACATGTTCAAAGGGTCTAATGAGTGCTTGTTGCTGGTAGAATATGCAGATTACTACTGAAAAACCTGGATGAAACAAAGAGGTCGGATTTTGTTAGTTCTTCTGCCGCAGAAGCTGGTGTGTATAGCTGTGCTCTTCTGACTATTGAGCATGGTTCAGTGCTCTAAGTGTCCTCTGAAGAACAAGGTTTAAGCTTGCTCATCTGCACTTGGCCTTGGGGGAGTCCCTGTGTGTCTTCAGCTGCGAAGCAGGGATGATGAGACCCAATTCACCATAAAATTAGGTGGTTTTCAGTAAGCACGTGATACACTGCCACATGGAAAGCAATATTAAGCCAGTGTAGATGCAAATTAGCTGAAGAAAGTGGAAGTAGCTATAGATGCACATATAGATGCGGCAGCAGAGAGCATGGATAGATATCCACTTATCAGATAAGAAGCTACTGTAGCGTTTCTTGGAGCATCTCTGGAGCTCATTTTTATTAATGGCAATGGCTTCAACACCACAAGTCTAATGGTGACATTTATTGATGACTCCAAGTGGGGTAGTGTCATTGGTTTAGGAGGATTGCATCAAGCCCACTAGCTCTACCTACTAAGGATAGGCTCGTTGTCTGCTGGCAGTGTTAGACCTGCACAAAAGCCACCGGTGATAATGGGGAAAATGTCTGCAGGAGAAAGAATTAGGTACTAGCATTGGTTGCAAGGCTGTGGAGTGCAGAAGTAGTTTATTAAAGACTTTTTTTAAAGGCTAATTGATGAGTTTGCCTGAGTGTATAACAGGATTAAAAAATGGTATCCAGCACAAGTGATACAAAGAGAGAGGTGAAACTTTAGCTGTAGCACCTGCCTAATTCATTCTTCCCTTGGTCCTATCTTCCTAATGGAGGAAAAACAATTTATTGTGTGAGGAAAGGTGGGCAGTGGTACCTGGGCTGTTCTGCAGGACTTTATGGAAAAGGGCAGATAATACCTGTCTCTGTGCAACCCTACCCTTTCTCTCTGGACTCCTAGCAGCAATGCACCTATGGGGGGAAGCAGTTCCAGTGTGTCCCTAAAACTATGTTTGGCATTTAATTCTGATTACATTTGCATGAACTTTAAGTATTTGTTTCATGGTTTTAATTGGCTTTTGCTTGGTTTCATGGTATACACTGGTGCAAATTACTTCAGGACCATCCCCTTCTAGTAACATTAGTGGTATAAGGAGACCAGGCTCTCCCCTCCTGTGTGTTTCCTTTTCACTTGATGTAAATCACAATAATAACTTGTTAACTCCATAGTAGGGCAAATAATGAAATTTTCTATGTGAAGCACATTGTTTTTGTCAAACTGTTGTGTGGAGTGCCTCATGTAAATTTGATAGTTTGAAATAAAGAAAGAGGGAGGGAAGGTGGAGAGGGAAGGGATAGGAAATCAGTCACTGATGATTTCCTCTCTTCCTGTGAGTGAATGTTAGGGAATGATGTGGAAGAACAAATATTAATGGAGCTAAAAAGGTGATTTTATTTGGATTATCTGTAAGGATTTAAGGGAGAAAAAAATGTGAAAGAAGTTCCCCATTTTTCTAAGAGGAAACCAACTCCTTTTTATCTTGCAGTAAAGACAAAGCTTTACAGGCTCTGAAGCCTGTTGGACTGCAGGCTGTGACTGCAGCACCATGCATTTGCTTGGTTGACAAGACCTTTTCAGGTGATCCTTTTTGCTGCTGAGGAGTTCTGGGTCCATGGTGTGTCATCAGCTGCTCTGGCTGAGTCGCAGGACTGCAGAGCTGTTGTGAGAGGAAGAGAGAAACACAGTGCAAGAGACAGGCAGTTTAGGAGCAACCCAGAAGAAATAACATAGGCATTAAATAGAAGTTAAAGAGTTTTGATTAGGTTTGTTCTTGGTTTTTTGTTGCTTATTAAAAGTGAAGTTGTCCTTGCTAATTTGGGAAAATAAGCTAGAAATGTTGATTTTAAAAATACCTAAAATGGAGTAATTCTGCATTTGGCTCTGAAAGGTGGTTATTTTAGGAAGGGCTTTCCAGGACTTGCAAGGAAGAGTTTTGAAGATTGGGATTAATGACAAATATGATCAAAGCTAAGGAAAAGTACACTGAGTTGCAGAAGATTAAAACATCATTTCTCAGTGTTCTGCATTTGTTTGCTTTATGAATGACAATTTGCTTTAAAAGAGAAGCTGTAAAATACTGATAGATACTGTCTCATGGGGAATCTTTTATCAAGTTTAACCACTTCTCAATTTCACTTTTCTATGGTAAGTGAAAGCTTATGAAATGTTATTTCCCTTTCTTCTTCAACTACATGTGGGACATAGTGCCTGGAGTTCAGAGCACTGTTCAGAGATCACCTTTTCTACTTCCATTGCTTTCATTACTGGACTCTGATGTTCTCCCATTAAAGCAGTCAGACACTCAGCTAAATACTGTCAAAGCTGGGTATAAGCATATATGGAACTGTCTTCTGCTAAGCTCTTTGCCCACACTGAGCAAGCAGAGCAGAGGCCAGGAAACAGCCTGCACCTTGGAGTATCTAATTGCAGCTGAATCCCACTGGAGGTGCAATGCACAGTGCCCAAATAGTGCAGTGTGTGTTGTTTCAAGGGCAGTGCAATGGTTAGAAACAGAAGAGCAGTCGACTGTGTCCAGATTTTGAGGG